TATATTTTCTTGGTAACTTGACGATATCTACCAAAGCACAAGTACATGTAACTTTTGACCTAGCAATTTAAAACTTGGGAACTTATCCAGATATATAATTACATACATGCAGAAATGATATATGTACACCACAACTCATTGCAATATTGTTTATAATAGCAAAAGATTGGCAGTAACCCAAATGTCTGTCAACAGAGGACTACTTTTAATATTATAGTACATTCATACAATGGAATACTCAGTAGTTGTCAAAAAGAATGAACAAGCACTCTATTTATTGATCTGGAAAGTTATCAAGTATATATATGCTAAAGAGAAAAAAGCATGGTACAGAACAATGTGCATGGTGTACTACCCTTCATGTTAAGAAGAAGAAATGCAATACCTATATTTATATTTTCTTGTATAGGCATAAAGAAACTCTGGAAGGACAAATAGAGAACAAGAGCAGTGATTATGTGTGGACATGAGAACTAGGTGGATGGGGGCAAGTAAGGATAGAAGAGAGACTTTTCACTGTCTACGTATTTTTTATTTTGATAAAAACATGTAACATGAGATCTACCCTCTTAACAAATCTATAAGAACACAATACACTAACTGTATATCTTTTTTATAGGTTCATGTTGAATTATACAAGTGAATTACCTATTCAAAAATTAAATATAAAATATTGAGCAAAAGAAGCAGCACTCAGAAGATATATACAATGTGATTAAGAATGCTTGCATGGGCTGGGCGTGGTGGCTCACGCGTGTAATCCTAGCACTCTGGGAGGCCGAGGCGGGAGGATTGCTTGAGGTTAGGAGTTCAAGACCAGCCTGAATAAGAGCGAGACCCCATCTCTACTAAAAATAAAAAGAAATTATCTGGACAACTAAAAATATATGTAGAAAAAATTAGCTGGGCATGGTGGCACATGCCTGTAGTCCCAGCTACTCGGGAGGCTGAGGCAGGAGGATCGCTTGAGCCCAGGAGTTAGAGGTTGCTGTGAGCTAGGCTGATGCCACGGCACTCACTCTAGCCCGGGCAACAGAGCAAGACTCTGTCTCAAAAAAAAAAAAAAGAATGCTTGCATGAACATGTAGTTCCCAATGAAGGCAAAACCAAACTGGGTTGTCCAGGGCTGCACAGGTAGCTAGGGGAGGGAGGACACACACAGTGAGACATATTTCTTCCTATGTATTTCTTCTCAAAGTTTGAGAAACTGTATCTATTTTATTGTCTCATCCTTTCATCCTTATGTTTAACTCTTT